TGCTATTCCTGTTATTTATGCCACCATTCTCCAAAGAAATAGAAGCAATGGGATGTAGAAAGTCTATTAACTATCATCTTCCATTTATCCATCCACATTTAAAATTACTTATTTTTTTTTATCAATGTTTGGGTATGCATGAGTATGCATGTGCCAAAATAGGCTAAAAGAGGGTGTTGGACCCCTCAAGTTGAGGGTCTATAATCCACCCAATGTGGGTGCTGGGAACAGAACTCTGGTCTTCTGCAAAAGCAGTAAGTGCTCTTTACCACTGAGCCATCTCTCCAGGCCCATGCGTCCGAACTTTAAAGAACTGACGCATGTCAGGCATGCGAACTTTAAAGAACTGACACATGTCAGGCATGGTGGTACACACCTTTCATCCCAGGGTGCAAGAAACACAAGCAAGTGGGTGACTAAGAATCCAAGGCCAGCATGGTCTTACACATTGTGTTCCTGGCCAACAAAGGCAACACAGTGACATCCTGTCTCTAAAACAACCGAACTAACTCATGACCTGGATAAGCCAAATCTGAGTTGGATCGGCTTGGGCATCTAAGACTGAAGTAATATCGCAACTCATGACCACAGCAGAAATCTCTTTTCCAGGAGAGTTAGCCCATGTCTACAGAGATCTCCAAGCCATTGAATGAGACACAGCCTCAGCATGGGAGGTAATCTTATTTATTCGGTGTCTAACTATTTTAGTTTTAATCTTATCTTATGAGACTGGATTTACTCGGGGTGATATGGCTAGAGAGTAATTTTAATTTTGCCTATAAAAACAACTTTTGTAGAAACATCTACAGTATTTTACCAGATATATGTGTACTGTGATTTTGTGCAGCTGACCCAAAATTAACCAATACAGTAAATTAAATGGTCTTAATTTTTCCCACCCTTGTGGAAGGAATGATGTGGGTATCTAAAACAAGCACAGGGTCATAACTACTCCTCAAAGATGGCCACCCCATTGTGAATTATCTTTGCACAAATTCCATTAGATGTTATAGCATGCTCACACCAATATAAAGATGCTCTATATTTTGAAAATTTTAGTTAAGAAGTCTTCAGCTTCAGCCTGACTGTTGGGGTAGACAGACAGTATCTGGGGAGCCTCACTATTCTTAGACCATCATCCTGTAAGGAGGTGCAAGCTAACTAAAACAGAGGACAGAGACAGCGGAGGAGACACACAACTAGCAACCAATCCCTCTGCAGTTTTTTCGGATAGCCCAGCTAGATGCCGTATAAATTTAAAGCAGTGTCTAACTCCCTGAACAGGCATAGACAAATCCCAGTGGAGCTGCTGTTTAACTGTAGTAGAATTATGGCCCTTCATGGAGAATTGCTATAGTTACACTACAAATGCTGCAAGAGACCATTATAAGTCATTGCTTTGAACATAACGAGTTTTATACTAGTTTGCTGCACACCGGCAGTTCAAAACAAACAAACAAAAATCAACCAACCAAAAACAATGCAAACAACAACAAGAAGCCCCAGGAAAAGAACATTTGAGTCCTTACCACTGCCTCTGGAAAATGTGGACATTTTTCTTATTTCCTTCAGATTTTTTTTTTTTTCACTGAAACAAGGAATTACATAGTTAAAGCAGGGAATGTTCCTCATCTTTACTTTATTCATTCTTTTCCCTTTCACAGATATTTACTTTCTAAAATTTTGTTGTTGTTGTTTTTTTTCTTTCCATGCAAACTTGCTCAAGATGCTAGATTTATGCCTGTGAGCAAGTCTCGGTGTTATTTTTCACTTTGCTATTTTTAAATGAATCTCTTCCGAAAAGCCTTTTCGTGCCCTTTGTTTTGCAGACATTATGGCAGATATCTCTAGTAGATGGATCGGTGGATGGACAGGTACATAGAACCTATCCCTCTCATAAGCTCTTACCATTCACCACCTTGTCACATAGCAAGCAGGATTCCTCTAAAGCCAAGGCTGTGTTACCCTGGTTTTAAGTCTCCAAAACGATGAGCTACACAACCCAGCCTTAGATATTTTGGTCTGGCTAAATTAAATTGGAACAGTATGTTATATCACAGTACTCTGTGTCCACTACAACATAGCTCCTCATTCATTTCCCCCTTAAATACTGTATAACACTTTGTTTAAAGTTTTCTACTTTTAACAACTGAAAAATACTCTACATGCTTCCTTATGAAAAAAAATTGGGGTATTTTCATGGTCTGTGAATTAGGCATGAGATTTCTTAGTACAAGACACAGCATTATGGTTATTACATAGTAACAACTTCAGTTTTTTTCAGCATCTGTAGATGATGTCTATGTTTTCCCCACTAGTTACTGCCAGGAGACATTGAATTATACATAACTTGATGATTGGTTTCTTCAGAAACTTGAACATATACATCTATACCACATAGATTTATTGACACAGTTAAAGGAATATTTATTCTAACAGTTAGTACTCTGTGTGAACTGTATAGAATACTGACACACAAATAATTATGGGTTTTTGGAGCAGTTCTTTGGGGGTTTTAATGAAAATGCCCTCCACTGACTCTAGCATTTGAACATTTGGTACCCAGTTGGAGGTGTTTGGGATGTTTAGGAGGAAGTACATCACTGGGGGTGGATTTAAGAGTCTAAGGACATGCCATTTTATTTTTTTTTTTTAAATATCTCTGCTTCTTACTTGAGGTTCAAGATGTGTGCGCTCAGCTCTTAGCTCCGGCTGCCTTGCCTCTGCTTTGCCACCATGGACACTAAGCCTCTGGAACTGTAGTGCAAATAAACTCCACCTTCTGGAAATTACCCTGTTCATGGTGTTCTATAAAAGTAACCAGCACAGCTTCTACACTTACTGTGAAGTCATTTAATTACTCAAGTTCTAACAAAAATTATCATTCTCTGTTATGAACCATTTACAAAGAAGCAGACCGACTATTTGGTTATTCCTCTACCAGAGTTCACTGGTCTTTAAAATATATTCTTCTTATTCCCTAGGAAACATTAGATTTTAAAATAAATCAGAAGTTTGTATTGGAAGTAGAGTTTTTATTAGTAAGTATTGTGGGATTTTAGAGACAATTAGGTACAAAAGCAAGGTATAACTGCCAAACCCAATTACAGATAAATACAATATATTTAGTAATTCAAAATCCCTAAGAATGTTGACTTTGTAAATGTAATATACAGATATTACTAAGTCTGTAACAAGTATATTTCAAAAATAATGGAAGTCCCTACACTGTAGCAGAGACTTGACACAACTATTGTAGAAATGGCTAGGAACCGAACTACAGCGTGGGCTAGCAATCCCACTGCTGGTCAATACACGCCATGGCAACAACACCGGCCACTGTGAGCACGGTGTTTATTACATGCAATGTGCGGAGGGGGTGTGTGGATAGTGCTTCCATGGCATGTTTGCAAGATACAGGGAATCTTTGATTGTTTCCCTGAAAGAAAGAGGTTACATTGCATCAGAGTTGGTAAGACAGACCTCCGACTCCGGAAGTCACCGATGTTTTGTCCAATTACACTAACTGAGATACTACTGCACCCTGGGCTACAACAAGAGATAAACACAGAGGAACGACAAACCTCCAGCATGAGAGTCTAAATTACAGTCCACAGGAGAAGTATCTCAGAGATTGAACTGTGGAGGCTCCAATAAATTTCACCAGGCAGCAATTCAGAATGCAGACTCCTAAGGGAGCCCAGAGCTCTTTACTCTATAGACATTATCTGCCTTCCTTTGAAAAGAAAAAAAAAATTGTATTAAGAAATTGACTCAATTAAGCACCCCCCCCCAGAATGCTTTTTAATTTTTTCATATGCCAGGCCCCACTAGTAAGTCATTAGCATTGTAAACAGAACACAACAGGTGTCTGGTTCCAGGGACATTATATTACGGAAATTACTTATGCCATTGACACCTATCATATGGAAATAGCTGTGTGCATCGTAAATGACATCCCCTCAGCTAATTGGCGTTATTTTTAAAGGCCTCTTCCAAGTCATTGTTTTTATTCCATAAAACATTAAAGAAATCCTGCTTAGAGCTCGCTCTCTCTTTCCCCCTCCCTCCCTCAATCCCTCCCTCCCTCAATCCCTCCCTCCCAAGTCTCTTTCCCTCCAGCCCTCTTATCTTCCTTTCCTCCATCCTTCTATGCTCCCCCCAACCCCCCTCTTTCTCTTTTCCTTTCTGTCCACCCAGCCACCTTTGCCTCCCTCAGTCAACTTCTGGAGTTCAACAGTTCCATTCTGAAAGAGAAGGGTTTCAAGAGGTCACAGGTCTCTATGCCCTTAGCTCCTTGGTAGAGTGGCAAGAGGAGAGCATGAGTGTGTGCTGAGAGGGGTAGGTCAAAGTAAGGAAATTTGTTATCATTAAAATGATATCTCGACAGATGCCGTTGACAGTGTTCCCCAGTAACTTCCCAAAAGTTTGGCAGAAGTCCACCCAGGTTAGTAGGAAGAACCAGGCAGCTCAGCGTCCTGGCCGCTAAAGGCAAGGTCCCAAAGGCTGTTGTACCAACAAGGGTTCTCCCCATGTCCCACCGCCACACCCCGCAATCCCTGTCATCCCGCCCTTTCTCCACCTACATCTTCCGCAGTGGGCACCAGCATGCCCTCATACAACCTATGAGAAAGGCGCTTCATTATTTCCAACCATCAACCACTGTGAAAGGAAGGGGGTCGACAGAAAGAAGTCAGCCAGGACCAGTCGCAGAGGATCCACTTGAGTTTGTGGAATCGCTGACCCAGGGAGCAGGGTCGAAGGACCCTGGGTAGCGTCCCCTGAGTTACAGGTTGGAACCAACTTGCCTAGCTTCCAGTGGCAGGAGCTCCCAAGTTCACCAGCGAACAGCGCGTGCAGGCAAGAAAGTGCTGGAGCAGAGCGCCGGCTCCGGCTCGCCCTGGGCGGGAGAGGCGAGGGAGGGGGCGGCGCGCAGGTCCCGCCTCCCCTGGCCACGTGCACGCACACGCCCACCGCGGCTAGGCTGGAGGAGCGCGGGCGAGTGTGAGCGCGGGCGAGTGTGAGCGCGAGTGTGCGCACGCCGCGGGAGCCACTCTGCCCTCTCCTCACACCCTGCACAGGGCATCTCGAGAGCCTGGAAACGTGAACAGGCTTAAAGTATGGCATGTTGCGAAGATGGTTTCTGTCCAGAAGGTACCCGCGATTGCGCTGTGCTCCGGGGTCAGCCTCGCCCTCCTGCGTGTCCTGTGCCTGGCGGCCTGGTGAGTTCTGGATGGGGTCTTAGGGTAGGGCGTGCGTGGGGAAGGGGGACGAGTGTCCGGATCCATGGCACCCACTCATCCTTCCCCCGGAGAACCACATCCTCCCGTCGTCAGTGTGGTATGGGCTGAAGCCAAGCTTTCCTTTGGCCGAGTAGACTAGGGGAGCTCTGGGAAGTCGGGTGCAAGAAGCGCGGGCACTGGGTACATGCTGCCTGAGGGCACCTGCAGTGTGGGGGTACTTGCTGGTCAGGGGTGCTCTTTTCCTGACCATTTCGGTTCTTCACATCCCCAGCCCCCAACCCTCCTTTAGCTTAAGGCCAGCGACTCTTTCCCTAGAAGGCAACCCTTTTCCACCTGTTCTCAGATCCATTCTTAAAATAGTCTTTTCCACCCCCGTTATTTTTGCACTTGCAGTTTAAACGAATTCCCAGGACAGAACTCAAAGGACGAGAAATTGTGCCCGGAAAATTTTACCCGCATCCTGGACAGTTTGCTGGATGGTTATGACAACAGGCTGCGTCCTGGATTTGGGGGTACGGATTGTTTCAAAACATGCAAGTGTGCTCTGTCTGTCCGTCTGTGGTCTGCCTGTCTATTTGTGGAAATATCATTAGGTACGGTTCACGTGCAAAAATGAAAGCCAGTCATTCTCTCGAGCGCCTCCCTCTTTCCCTCTACCCCCTCCTCAGTGAGACCTGTGACAAGAAGACCGCCTCCATCCGTACTTTCCCATCTCCCCACCCCCTCAGGAGCTTGGCCTCCTCCTCACTAATTACCTCTTGAGACCTGACTGCGGGGTGGGGGAGGTGGGAAGTAAAAAACTGAACTCGGAGCTGCTGCTCTGTGGCTGCCTGGCTTCTCTGAGCCTGAGCATGGGCTGTCCTTGTGTCTGTCCACCTTGCTCAGGTGGACATTGTTGCACCAGAGGCAGCTGCCTCCAGGTCTTCTCCTCCCACGTGTCTCTCTTTCTCTGCCAAAGGTTTATCCTGTGTTCTAGCCAGGACAGGAATCTGGGACACAGAGCTGAAGCTGGCTGCTCTGCTGGGGAGCCCAGTCCTTTCCTGCTAGCTTCTCACTTTCTTTGAGGAGCTTTGGGCTTTCATTTATGCCTCAGAGGTGATTGGCTTTATTTCCTCCTTGAGGCAATACCTGAAAAGTGCATAATAAGAGATCGAACATTCACAGCACGTTTTTTCTCATACCATATTCCTTTGCATATTCAATGGGTATCTAAATGCTAAGCTAGCTGCTAGGTGCTGGGGTGCATTGAAGTCAGGCAGAGTTCACCTCAGACAGCCTATCAATCCAGTTGATCAGGGAGGAGTGACTTGTTAAGATCCAGCTTGGCTTGGCTCACTCTTCCGAATGCAAACTCGCTGCTCTTTCTTCCATAAATGAGTTAAACAAGAGGGCCTCAGACTAAAAGTAGCCAACATTCCTGTACTGATAGGAATGGAAACAATGAAAAGCATTGTTGTTGTGCTTATTTAACTCATTTCAACCAGACTGGCATGTTATATACATTATTCTTAACTCTCACAGCAACTCGAAGAAAAAGCTGTTGCTATCCCCATTTGACAGGCTTGGAATGTTAGCCTGGTTCAGCTTGAGTTTATGGACTTGAACGCAGGTGGCGTTTTGTATTCACAGGACAAAGCCTGTAGATTCCAGGGATGTCCCACACCGATGTGATGAGTAAAAGGTGAACTTAAAAGCATGGGGGCCGGTGCTCTCTGCCTTCAGTTGAGGCTGTGGAGGAGGGAAAGAGTGGGAGAACAGATAAAATAGGCTCCTGGAGTGGAGAACACAGGAGGTATGAGGTAGAAGGAGTGTGGACTGAGTGAGAAAGAATTATGGGGTGAAGTAGAGTTGAATAGAACAGGATGATGACAAGACAGATAAGGACACAAAAGACAAATGTGGATTTGGATGAGGCCCAGAACACACCCCTAATAAGCTGTGATCTGGTCTCCTGATCCCAACCCATTCCTTTTCTGGACTATATAGCAAACGTTCTATAAAGTAGAGAGGGGATTCCTTTGGTGTCTGTGTACTGACAGTGATAAAAAATGGATGGGAAAGATGGAAGTTTCTTGTGATTTTGTTCCGTGTTGTTTCTCAAGATATAGGTTGCCCACACTAGATTTGCCTTCCTGCAAATCTGAAAAGAGACTTCATTAGAGAAGTGAATCATTTGTCAAAGTATGAGCTCTCATAAGTGACTAGGAAATTATCATTTTAGACCAAAAATAGTTTTGTGAAGAATGCTCTAGATAATGTGATACCACTTGAGTCTGTATAATATCAATAAAAGAGGCCTTATCTTCCCAGAAAAGGTTTTAAATTCACATTTCAAACACAAAAGTAAGGAAAATATAACTCATATGTAGCTTAAATATTCATAACTGAAAGCACAATTTATAACTGGATCTATATGACTTTATTAGTAAGTGTTGAAAGTAAAAATATGTTCTCTTGGCTGTAAGACAATTTTTATATATATATATATATATATATATATATATATATATATATATATAT